CGCGATTGCTGAACAAGAAAACGACACATTCATATTCCAATGCCGAGGTTAAGAGAAAGTCGATCCTGGGAACTATTAAATTGTTAAGTTTAAGTTTGATCAAAAATCTCTTAGTTAATGGATAGGAAGCGCATAACTGAAAAGTCAGCGTAATGAGAAGTATTGATTTGAATCGCGGACGAGATTCACTGTCTTATGGAGCCAACCAAAACTTTCTCGGTTCCAAAGGGAAAGCCACCCTATACGCCACGGATCGCCAATATGTCAACTGCTGGTTGAGTTAAATAGGCCGTCTTTACAAAAATTTTTTCGTACTCCAATCTCAGTCTGACTATAAATTTATTGATTGGGCACGATTTTCTCTCCATTGAGTCTCGAGTTACCCGTTCAAGGGCTTTCCCACCTACCAACAGCGAACCGCATCATCGCGGCTGGCAGATGTACCTAGGTGCCGGACTGCGATGTACAGCAGGTGGTCCATTCTCCAAGCAGGGCCTCTGAAGTTGTGAAGGAGCCCGACGTTTTCATCGGGAAGTCCAGCTAATAGTAAACCAATGCCAATACCAGTAATCACCACCGTCTTGGTATCAAACTAGTTCCAAAGTGGCAAACCTCCCTCTGATACACAAGAGCGGCGGCTGTCTGGGATGGTGATGACCGGAGGAAGGCTTCGGCTTCGCTGAGCACTCGACTCCAGAGAACAACAGTCCTAAACCGACAGGTCTTCGGAGAATGGAAATTATGTTGGTGTTTGCAAAACCGGTCAGAGTGGACCATCCAAGTATCCGAGTAAGAAGGGGCTTTCTGAAGTCGTCGCCACAGCGACTACGCGGTGGAGTTTATAGGTTGGAAGAAGATTTGCCACCCTTCGGCTAACTTGCTACCGGGATTTTCCACATTTTTTTATCTGGGCATTAGATGGAAATCTCGAGTTCGTTCCCAGATTGGAAAACCTTTTTGAGGATGAACCTCACCTGTACATGCTAGTTAGTCATCCAGAAGTACCACTTGTCATGATGAGGCGGCAAGCTACCGAAAAATGGGAACGGTGACTTACCATAGCGTTCTTCGCAAAATATGTACTTTGCTCTGGAAATTCTATATCTTTCGCCTAGTTATAAACTTTTCTCCCAACGGTTTGCATCCTCATCGTGGCTGGGAGGTGTTCCTGGGTGTCGGGCTGCGATATACAGCGGAGGTATTCATCTCTTCCGCAGGGTCTCCCAAGCTGAGAAGGAGTCCGGCGTTACCTTCAGGAAGGTTAGCTGAGAGTAAACCAATACCAAGATCCGTCACCGTCCTGGTATCAAAGTCGCACGGTGGCAAATCTCCCTCTGATCGATCCACAAAGACAGCTACTTCCCGTGGTGGTGACGACCTGGGGCAGACTTTGGCCAGGCTGTCGTCGGGATTCCAGGGAACCACAGTGGCTTAACCACCAAATCTCCGAAAAATGGTGATTATGCTGGTGCACGTATAATTAGTGAGGACGGGCCGTTTAAGTACCAAGTAGGTAAGTTAGAAGCTTTTTAGTTTCGTTTTACATTCCTGTCACTAATTCTTTTTTACATAACTTTCGTACGGACGTTTTTTTGTCGAATCTAAAACAAGCTCAAGTTCTTTTGAATAAATCTCATTGGGATAGTAATAAATAAAATAGAAAATAGATAGTACGACGCAGAAACTTTTTCTTTAAGCAATTTGCTGAAGTGGCGAAGAAAATGTCCCTAACCAGGTATCTGCTATACACCACTGTTGTTAATGGAGCATTCGAACGATTGACGATTAACTGGCTTTGCAATACTCTATTTTTCAAGGTATCATTTTTCAGCCTAGTGTTCATCTACACCAAAAAAACGAGTTCAATCGAACCTTCTTCCCAAAGGGAGTTGTAGATTTATGTTTTCTCTAGAAGTGTTCCTTTTGTTTGTGTTCAACATTCACACTGGATGTCATTGTGAACATTTGTGTCTCTGAGAATTGAACCTTTTGATCAGTTTTCGTAACCGTGTATTCTCACATCTTGCTACAAATAACGAGAAAAGCTAGCGACACTTAATTGATGTCAGGCATAGTGATCAATAAATTGATTTTTGATGACAGTGCTTCAACGAGCGTATTACCCACTAAGGTCTTCAGTCTCATTTCACCTCTCATTTTAGCGCGATGTATTCACTCATATTTGTAGGTGTATATTTTATGTTGTTAACCATTCCATACTTATAAATCTTATATGGGCTATTCTACAGGGACTGCATGACTTGATTCTGATCGTCTCCACCTCAAAATCTCTATGTGATAAGGTGCATAACGAATTTGGTGAAGTGAGTTTTGAGTTTACAGCTGAATATGAAGTGGTGAATCGATTAAGGTTTAAAAGCATCTGGAACGATAGAAGATTTACAACATTTAAAAGTGATTTTTCAGAAACTGAAGTGTATGTTTATGGGGTTTCCTGGATATGAAGAAGATCTGGATTGGGGTGAACAGAAGTATATCAATTTTCTAAAGATTCGGGCACAATTGATAAGAATATTAATTGAGGTAAATGCGAGGAACGCTTCCGTTAGTTTCTCTTCTACTTCTTCTTTCTTTAGCGATTAAAGTCAGTGTTCGAAAACGTGGAACAAGTACTGCCTGCCTTTCTTTATTCTATCGTCAAGTGTACTCGAAAACTTAGAAAAAAATCCTATTCTGATTATGTCATTTCAGACGTAGACCAAAGGTTAGTAGTAATCACCCCACGCAAAGCAATTCCGTAGTTTTTCAAAAGAAGAAGAGAATAAATAGCCAGCCCGGACAAATTGATGCGACTTAATTCTAGCGGTGATTCACACTAGATTCAAATTAAGGATACATCGATGACCATCGTCGAAAATCGTTGATCCTATTTGACTCGAACCAGCGAGATCCTGAAGAGGGGAATATCGCTAAAACATCAGATAGTAGAATAATAAGTTTCACCAACTTTATATTTGCTTATCAAGAAACCGGAGAGGCTGTTGTGTTAGCTCAGTATATCATTGTTTAATAGTTACTGTACTCTGTCCATCCGGAAGGGTAAGAGCAACGCATATAAATCAAGATTGAACACCATTGGAAGAATTTGGTTCTGTTCCAGTTTATCTTTGACAAATTAAATAATATATGTGAAAGCTCTGACGGAATTAGTGTCTACAGATTGTGTGGCGATATAATGTAGTCACTTTTTATTTACTGCCTATTCATTTTTCATCGCAGGGTATGGTGTGAAATTTATTCACAATGATGCTGAGATATTTGCAAAACTCCAGACCGCGGGTGTCTGCGGTGAGGATCGAGCACGCCATACCCTTCCGGGGACCAACATGTTTACCACCACACTATGTGGGTTCTTCCTTTCCCCTTTCTCTTAGCCTTATTTTAACCTATAGGTGCTATCAGCAATCACCGGCCAACGGGATTGGTCTGGGAAGCACAAGTCGGCATTAAACCCAGTTTAGCTGAAGCTGTAATAGAAATCACATGTAATCTTTTTTTAATTACCGCTTGTTCTTTCTCATTCTTTCCCTCATGGTATGGTGGTGAACACATTAGCCCCTGGAAGGGTAACAGATGGTTCGATCACCACCGCAGACACCAGCTGTCCGGAGTTTTGCAAGTATCATAACAACCATGTGGTTATAAGCGACGATAATAGGAACATCATCAAGCATTCAATGTACACTGGTGCAGAGCCGTTTAAATATGTGAGGTAGAGACCGTATGTGGTAATGCCATAATTTGAAAAGTGAAGCAATAATTTGAACGATAAAAATGTAAATTGTCCGAAATTGACCCATCTGTTATGGATGCATCATGTTCGGTCTACGGAACAACTCATAGGAGCTACCTATGTATAAAGTCACTATTTTTACAGCAATTTGCCGACCTCCGAGATATTGTGGGCTTAGTAAGGTGAGTGCATGTGGTCAAAACAAAGATCAATTTTCTAACATTGGGATACCTCTACCCCACAGCATGACACATTGGATATTGTAAAGTCGACAAAATATTTCTGTCATTTCTAGTTTATACTTTGACCAATTCTGAGCTTTGAAGAATTCTGTACGTTTCGTGCTTATCGAAGCTGATTCAACATGGTTCCGAGATCCGCTAGAGTTATTCATTAACGCTACGATGATTGACGACGCTGACATTGTAGTGCCGTCCAAAGGATACACGCAAAAGGTAACGAACTCTTGGGCAAATTGTACAGGAAATGGGATATGATTTTGGATAACTCACATGAATTCATCTTTACACAGATAATAAAAAGGATAAAACGTTCTGCGTTGATTAATCTCTGAAGGATATGCCAATCATTCAATTTATCAGTTGACAGGGGCGATCATGTGCATATCTGGCCCATAGAATTACTTGTGATGGCACACCGATGCTTAAGGTCAGTGCTATTATCCTCCCAGACAAGTCTGGTACCAATTTACCGGCGCTGGAGGGATGGAAGGGTTGGTTAGCCTTGCGCGTGGGTTCGAACAAAGAACCACCGCCTTTAACCGCTGGGCAGCATGCGTCCCTTTCACACATATAGTGCCAATAATCATTTAATCGTGCAAAAGTCACAGTAAAAAAATTTTCTGTGCTTATTATTGAAATTACCCGTGATTATTTTAGCATGTCAATCAAAGACGGGTTAAAGCTTTTTTTCCACTTCAGGGCGATGATTTGGCATTTAGTCCAATACTAGTGGAACCTACAAATACGTCGATCGCCGTTTTCGACGAAATTAATCGACGTCTTCTCGGAAATGATTCATTGTACGATCAGGTTGATTTCAATGTATCATACTCTCTTACTTAGAAACTGAAACGGTCCATTCTAGCATGTAGTGGTGTTCCGATCACTTCTTCCACTAGTTTTCTTATTGTAAAATCGTCCTCCGAAGGGGTAAGTATTCGGGTTCATGTGTGGATTCGTTCAGCTGCAGCTTGGACGTTAATAGTCTTCTCTCGTTCTTTGTACATATTTAATGCTAGAGGCATTTGATTTACACCACAATCCTTGGATAGCAATGCTAGCAGATCCATGGTCTTTTCCACAGGCATTCACAGGCTTTAGTGATCCGTAACTAGCTTAGCCGTTTTGCTCTAGGATTCCTTCAGTGCAGTCTGGCTGCCATTCTTGTCGTAGAAGTAAATTTTGTCGTACCGATTTACCGTTAACGGTATCTGAAACAAAGTAACAAGTGAATTCTGCTATATTTCGAAGCTGGAAGAAAAATAAGCATCAATAAAGTCGAAAATGGCATGTGATTAGTTTCTTTTTTCGTTTTTTCTTTTTTGAAAATTCCAATTTACATCAAATAATTGGTAACTTAGGAACCATACATGTATTTTAACTTCAGTTCTGAGGTAAAGAAAATTACAGCTGGTCCTTACCGTACCACTTTTTGCCAGAAATCTTAAATTTTTTGGTAGAAAATATGGATGAAGTAAGAGCTTTTAGGACGTGCTTAATGAATTGTGCTCAGTGCAGTACCACGGCGTTGTCTGTCGACGCTTCGAATACAGTGAAATCGCTGACGGGAAATGGTAGGACAATATCGTAGGAAGATGAATCTTTTCCCTTGTATATCCAAGAGAAATTGGCGGACAAGCTGACCTATCTTATGACCAGGAACAGGAAACATCTGGTTCATGAATGGCGAATTATACACTAGTTCACATTTTCAGGTTCCACCTTAATGATCGGGTGAAGAACAACATGAGACCATTCATAGTTAACAATAATTTCTACGTTGGACTTAAAAATAAGGAAACACGACAGGTATGGATCAAGAATCTCTAATTCTTCATTGGGATGAAATCACATGCCCCATTGGGTGACATGGCCGATGACTCGCCATAGTGGGAACTCATGGGTGGAGTGATCAGCGTTCCTCGTAATTCATTTGTATACGCCGAAGTTTTCCCTTTGTGGTGTTAAACCATTAGTGTCGTCACCCTGATCAATCGCGTATTTATCATTGATATCAGGAGTACCACGTAGACATTTGTTATGCATTCGACTCCAATAGTAGCAATGTAGAGATGATTGCGTGCATTTCTGGCCTATGCAGTGATTTCCGGTGGCTTAGCGATGTTAGCAAACCAGTGCTTCTATCTCTCTAAACAGGTTTACCTGTATCCGAACCAACACCTTCTGTTATCCTATCGTTGACCATTCATATACTCTTATTCTGGGATGGGCAATCTCCTGTATCACCTGTAGTCCCGCTGATCGTCGAGTAACTCGAGCAGGTGGCAATAAATCTTCCATTTTTTTGTCGCGTGCAAGAGTAGCCCAGTAGGTTCTGCTCGCATTAGGGACTCGTCGGGCATCATATCTTTCTTCAAGGCTCTTTGTGAAGAACTTTGACCATCGGGTCGGTGGTCTTCTCGCAGTACGTTTGACATTCCGAGGAATTCAGTCACTAACGGCTCTTGTCCATCGGTTGCCGTTCATACGCATTACGTGTCTGGCGCACTTTATCTTCAACTGTCTTGCGTATGGAACGGTATCTTTGACATCCCCGCTATATCCTCGACGCTCTTGAAAGCTCCTCATGAACGGCATCTTTGAATTTTGACCGTTGACGCAGATCGGAGCTTCGGATCCCATCCCTTACTTGTGTGGAGCGGGATACTCCTAGCATCGTCCTTTCGACTGCGGGTTCGATAACGCTGAGTGACCTTTCGTCCTGCTTACGCAGCGACCAGGTTCTTGACGCATACGTTAGGGCAGAAATTACTGTTGAGTCGAAGAGGTGGGCACGGAGTTGGGTGTGCTCTGTTTTCTTCACAACTTCTTCGATGCTCTTGAAAGCTCCCCAAGCCGCTCGTTTTCTTCTGCTCAACTCTGGAGCTAAGTTTTCATCATATTGATTTTCCAACCTAGATAGATATATAACTGGAGCATTCGGAGTCATGAACATCGCTTTTGTGAAATTTAGTCGGAGACTAACCTTTCTACAGGCTTTATCAAAGTCGGCAAGCATACGTTCCCCTTGGCTATTGTTTGGTGTTATAAGGACGATGTCATCAGCAAATCGAAGATAGTGTAATTGCCGACCGTCGATTTTCACTCCCATACTACCCACTTCCATTCAAATGTTCGCATAATGTTCTGGAGAGTGGCGGTAAATAATCTTGCCGAAATGGTATCACCTTGCCTAACCCATCTTCTGACGTCGATGTGAATATCGTTGTAGAATGGTGATATCTTCGTTGTGGAATTTTTGTACAGTTCACGAAGAATCTTTGTGCACTGAGTAGGAACTCCTTGACTATCAAGGGCTTCCATGACTGCTCCTATCTCAATTGAATCAAACGCCTTCTGTAAATCGATGAAAGTGAGACAGAGCGGTCTTTTGTACTCTCGCGATACTTCAAAGGGTCTCGTTATCGTGTAGATGTAGTCCATCGTACTATATCCTTTTTTGAAGCTCTGCTTTCTCACATGGCTGCGCTTCGTCCAGTATTCTGCCAGTTTTGTCTAGGACGACTTGAATGAATAGTCTGTAGACGAAAGACAGCAAGCAGATGGCGCGATAGTTGCCAATGTCGTGCAGATCACCCTTCTTGAACAATAACACGGTCATGCTGGTCTTCCACGGAGTAGGAACCTTGCATTCAGTCAGGTAACGTGTGAGGAGCCAAGCCACTGTGTTTACGAGCGTTGCCGTAATGGTCTTCAGGTGTTCTGGTGTTATCCTGTCCGGTCCTGGTGCTGTTCGATGTTTCACCGACGAAATGACATGTCGGATTTCGGAAGAGAGAGCCGGTGGTACAACATATCCATCCTTCTTCGTTTCATATGAGCGATGGAGAACGTGGCTATCAAAGAGATTTGAGTAGTATTCGTGAATGGTTTTCTCCACTTCCTTTCTACACGCTGTAACTGTTCCGTCTGGGCGTCGGAGTGCAATCATCTTCGTCTTGTAACTGGCGAAGCTTTGGTGAGCTTCGAGAATGTGTCTTCTAGCCTTTCCAGATTTAAACCTAGCTTCCGCTCTTCTCTCTTTAAAATCTTCCATTATTAGCTCTATTCATTGTTTTGCAAGTTCGGAAGTGAGTTGGCGGTTGCTTGCAGCTTGTACAGTTCTAATTTGGCCTGTCAGCTTGAGAGTTTTTGGAGACAGACGTCTCTTGATGACTTTCGAACTCTCAGCTTTCATAGCGCTAACGTCAAGATGTTGAATAATCCGATCGTATTCTTTATCGATGTAATCGACAGCGGCATCTTTCCAACAGCCGACTAATGAGTTGAATAAGTACCAGTTTACTGTGGTTCTAGGACTTCGGTTTTTGAATTTAGCGGCTTTTTCTTCCTTCTGCGAGAAACAGAATCTTACACGAAGAAGACGGTGGTCTGATCCCGTGTAGAATTTTAGGACAACAGCGACATCTGTTAGGCAAAGCATTCTGTTTACTATGATGTGGTCTATTTCGTTATGGTACTCTCCATTGGGAGGCTCCCACGTCTAGCGCTGAAGGTGAGGTTTCTTGAATTCCGAGTTACCATGGATTGTCTTGGTCGCCATGGTAAACTCAGACAGCCGCTCATCCCGGTCGTTCCATTCTAATCTGTGCGTCGCAATGTAACGTTTTTCAGACGTTCTTCTTGGTCCAGTCTTGGCGTTGAAATCTCCAATGATGACATTGAAGAATGTGTGGTCTTCTCTGTAGAACTTCTCCAAGTCCATATAAAACGCTTCGACTTCTTCTTCGTTATAGTTTGATATCGGCGCGTAAACGATGAAGATTGTCAAGGCCGGAATTGATCCACGTTTTTTAAATCGTCAATGTCCGATTTGGGTTGTAAGTTTCTCGAATGAATCAATATTCATGGACAAACTCGTGTTGACGAGAACGCCGACGATGCCGACTCCTCTACTGTCGCATGTTCCGAAGAACAGTTCTTCTCCAGTGTCGTAGACGGCGCTGAAAGGCTGCCATCTTCTCTTCTCGGCCAGGCCAATGACGTCGTACTTTATCCTTTTTGCTTGCATGAGCAAGTCTCCTATCGAGAGTTTCAATGCAAGTGTACGTGCATTGTAGGTACAGATCGTCACCTTAGTTCTTTGCAATCCAGATAGCTTCCATTGGCCTTGAGATTTTAGCAGCCTCTCCGTACTCATCCTACCCAACGCTGCCGGATTGGGGCTCTTTCGGTGTCAGGAGAATGAGACCTGTTTCTTTTACTGTGTTTAGCATTTTGATGCCCACGTATAGCATGTTGGGCTCTGAATGTGATGGCTGGGTATACTCACGAGTAACTTGCCAGTCTCTCCCAGAGTGGACATGGAGCTTATTTGTTGGAGGCGACTCCTGACCGCCTCCCAGATATTTCCCTGTCACTTGATTGCAGGCTTTTGGCCGAATCGTCTCATAGAATACAATCTGCATTAACTGGAACGCACCCACACACGTGTGCATGAATATGCCTCGTAAATACAGAATGTATGTGCCAAATCGGCTTAGCAGAAACAAGGAGTCCATCCCTTGGATCCACCTCCACCCCAGGTAAGCAAAGGTCACTTTTGATCCGCGATTAACCTCTTATCCGCCACCTGGGGTCGCCTCACGTATCCTCGCGACTAACCAACTCAAGATTCCTCATGTGAAGACCCTCCATGGATAGGCAATACCAGTTGTTTAATATCCACGTTGCGGAACTGAACCTCACGAATGTTTTACAATCTTTTACGTTATACTTGCTACAATCGTAATGTTTGGAACATGAAAAGTATTGTGTATATTTGAAGAAAATTTCAGGCTATAAATGGATTGTGGTTTCTTACGAAGAGCGACCACTGTTCAACTAGTAAAGTAGAGCGAGCACTAAGGAGCGCTATCGCCTAGAACTACGGAGAACGTCAACGGAATAAGTCGATGTCATTATTAATCTTATGCCACCTGTGATCACCTTATCCTTGAAGCAAGTACTCTTGTCGCTTTAGGGTGATATAGATAGTCTTATCGTTGTATTGATATAAGAGCAACGTTTACCAAGACTTTCAGCTGTTGTCAACCGCTGAACAGCAAAGTATCAGTGTAGACTCTATATGGTTTGTAAATTAGATCGAGACGATTTCTAGTGCGTACGAGGCAAGCGCCATAGTTACTTTCGAATGACAACTGAAGCGGGTACTGTCAAGCATTACAGTCTTCTCTTTATTGACTGATTATTCATATATCTGAATATTCGATGGTACAAAAACGGACTTTCTATGTGACGACAGTGTACATTTTGGTCTAGAGGACATTGATGTATATTGCATCTTAACTATGTGCAGTAATACATAAGTCGTTACCTGTCGTTATCCAAAGAGTGTTTCCACTTTAGAAATATCATTAGAAACATTTCTTGCCCATTAATCTTGACCAGAAGTTGTGATTTAGAAGTGGAAATATTTGAAACTGATTGCATAAATAAAAAAGCCAAAGCTTTCCGGGTTGATCATTCTCTGAAGGATGCACCATGCATTCGACTTTACCAAGTATCGTCAGAGGTGATTAAATGTGAATCTGGTCTACCGTTGTACCAAGGAAGTGCTGCTATTCTACTGGACAACTCTGGGACCGATTTACCGTCTTCAAAACGATGCAACGCTTGATGAACGCAAGGCGGAACATCGACACGAGGATCACGTGTGTACTGCAGGACACGTCTAACCACTGCGTTACCTGCACCACCACGAATTAGAACCATTTGGTAAGATTCGAATTTGCGATAACCTTTTCTGGGTACTTACGTGTTACCCACTGATCCGTTAAGTGTCTTGCCTTCCTATCAGCCAGTTTTTTGATCTAACCGCGCCATCAGCAATCATCGGTCAACGGGAGTGATCTGGGAAGTACAAATCAGTATTGAATCCAGTTAAGATGAGGCTATAGTCGAAACCAGAATGTATAACTTCTTACTTAGTGCCTATTAAACCCATTATTTTTTTTTCAGAAGGGGAAATTTTAAGTTTGAATCTAGCTTGAGGTCTGAGTTTTGCAATTACCTCAGCATCATATTCCTTGTATTTCAATAACAAGTTATACATCGCTATTTAAACATTTTACAACGTTTGTTAGATTTACTTGTAAAGATAAGGATAAGTGGAATGACTTTGTTTACACTAACGTGGCGCTTATATATATATATGTGAATACTGCACTGATATGCAATGC